GACAATAAAAGAGATTGTTTATGTGCGATTTTATGTTTTGACAGACACCGCCAAACTCCACATTATTTGTTTGTAAAAAACTATCATTATACTTCACATGAAACCCAATCATAAAATTATTCAAAATACAGTTTTAGCTTTAATCATAATACTTTAAATCTAATTGTATATCGATTCGATTTATTGTACTTACAGACAAGGCATTTATTTTTAACAAAACGAGTTATTCTCAATATTTACCTGTAAAAAAAAAATAAAATGGAAAATTATTATACTTGGTAAAATAGAGTAGAAAAATAAATCTAGAATTATACAATAAAAGTCGTTTGGTGTGCGTTATTGCATTGGTTGCTTTTTTATCATTTTTTTCTCTCGAAAAAAGAAGGATTACTGCCGCACAATTCTTCAAGGCGACGGCAGCAACGGTTTTTTAGACCATAAAACCAATACCCGGAGACGGTTTTACGACTCTGTTTTTATTTATACGACAATATTTTTCAAATATCGTGGATGTGGAGAGACGGAGAAAAAAACGGACCAAAGACTAGTCGAATACAGAACACGCGCGGCAGAGTAGAAGTGGAAGAGTTTTCGGCGTACTTTCTTGAGAATTTCACCGCCTTCGCCTTCCCCGTCCGGGCGCTCAGAATATAAAAGAGACCGGGGCACACAATGCGTGCAGGGATTTTTTTTTTTTTTTTGTTTACCCACTCGCCGGATATCGGATTATCGAAAAATCCGAAAACTTCAGAGTCGGCGGCTGTTCAGACAAAACCAAGGAAAACTTTTCGTGTAAGCCCGGGACTTTGTACTCGCGCGCGCGAAGCTTTTAGAATTTATTCTTTAAGCCGAGACGGTTTCAAAGAGAAAGGAGTAGGGTAAGAGTTGTCGGTGCGCTGTTGTGGCGAGCTCATGAAATTCAGAACGACCGATATGACGTCATAAAAATACTGGTCCAGAATAAATGTATGGGAAAGGGAGAGACAGACTCCAGTGGAGAGCGGCATCGCTGCGGCGGCTCGCCGGCGACAACTACGACGAATAATGCATTAGGGGCGGGCGTAACGTGGAATACGAAAACGGTTCAAAGAAAGTAGGGAAATTTATATTCAGTCTACGTGTGTTTATATATATTATGTACATTGGTTTGGCTTATTTCTTTTTCGTTAAGCTCCAATGAATATACGTGGAAAATCCCTGCGAATACATAACAAACGCGAACGCAACCCGCACAAACGTATTACGGTCGTCAACGCAATATAAAATATTATGTAACATTGTGCTGAAGATGTCTCTGATCCTTGCACGTAACTAATGCGGTATACGTACACTCTAATTTACATATATCATTTTCAGCCCCGCCTTAGTCGGACGTTTTTGTTGGTCTGCTCATTTTAAATCTCAAAAACAAAAATTTATTCAACTCGCGACTGAAGCTATTTCTCTGAACAATATTTTAAAGATGGCTCTTCATTCTTCTCCTCTCATTAGGACAACATTAGTTTTAAGAGGACGAAACCCCACTCGTATCGATTACACTTTGATCGGAATTATGCCCTAACGACCGCAGCGAAATAAGTTCACAAAACGTCTTTATTCTCCCCTATTTTATACACGAACTCTCTTCGAAAATCTTTGTTTTTATAGCTCGGTCGACAACCCCTCCGGAGAAAAGGGTTTTTATTATTACTGCGACACTTAGTTGTACGATATTGTAATATCATATTATCTCTAATTTGTTTTAACGCCCACGTGTTGTTGTTACTATCCGTTTTCGTTAATTTCTCCTTAACAAACAAAAACGATAACAATTATACATCCGAAATCGAAATGTCGATTTAATGATTTACTAAGATGTGTTTACACACGAAACGAATTTGTTTTACCCTTTTTTAGTTATTTTAACGTTGTCTTACCAACACGGTTTATATTATATAATTTTATCGTATTGGTGCCATCGAACAATCAGTTGAAAAAGTGACCTCTGTTACCATAAATAACGAACAGACAAACACATACACACACACACATGTACCGCCACGATCATTTATCTATGGATGAATATATATATATATATATATATTTTTACAAAAAATAAAAACACGCTATATGCTTAGGCTGCAACGACGGGTCTTGAGCAGCGATCGACCCGGGGAAAATAAAGCACTTGTTAAGAAGATAATCCGGCACATTGAGAAACGAAGGGAGGGCCGATGACCCCGTTTATGTAGAGAAAAGTCCTGGAATTTTGTGACCGCGGCCAAGTCGCATCGGCAACGTGATTTATGTCTCGGGTCCTATTGTTGTCCTCGCCTGTAGGCCGTAAAGCGGCACAGGATACAGGCGACTGAGGGTATGGCTATTATCCAGTCGTTAAGCTTTCGAGTATAACACAATAACTATGCGTGTTTGTTTGTACACACAAACACATAGAACTACATACGTCATCAGTGCGTAAAACAACACACCGCAGTCGTGGCAACGATAGTATTATTGTTGTATTATATCACGTAAACGTATCTAAACATTGCTCTAACAACAATAACACATAAAACTAACACACCTCAAGAGTCGATGCTTCCATTATTTAAGTCCACAATAACCTAATATTTTTTACGTATTAGCCAGACTCGCATTAATTTCCTTTCTAGTTCGGAATTAGTCATTTTCAAGTTAACTGATAAAACAATTATTTTTATTGAATGGAAAGTTTGGAGAACAGAAATATGGTTATTTTGATATAAAATATCACCATATGATCTCCCGCGAACAATGAAAAAATATATGCAAATAGAAATTGGAAACTGCTCTTTACTCAGTCACACAAGTAATGGAGCAATAAAATATTCATAGCTCGTCTCTATACCGTGGTATCGTGTGTAAAAGCTTTTATGCTTTTACTTATTACTTTTACTACATTGAAAACTACTAGCTTATTATACTAACTGAACCCTGTCCCTTGCTTTCGGAGAAGGTTCTTATTTATTCTAAATAAACCTCAAATACTCTATCTCTGTACCGTTATCAGTTTGGCGGTAGCGCAGAAAGGATTTGCGTATTTTCCGAGTCGACGGAGGAAAAAAGAAACGGTTCATTTGTAAACCGAGGGGAGAAAAATAAAATAAAAATACGAAAGAGGACAAATGGATGTTTTCGAGGGTCTACTAGGAAAACTTTTTAATTCAAAGTCGAATCGACTTTGAAAAATTGCCCGCGGCTTTCCCGTGTGCTGCCAAGCGTCAAATAAACTTCGGCCGCGATACGATTTTTCACGTAGCCAATTTGAAAAAAAAACAGAAAGGATAGATAAATGGAAAAAGAATTACCACAGCAGTGCTTTCCTGAGTGGAACTGAAGTTTAACAAACACAAAGGCGAAATAGGGCTACGTTTTTTTTCCCGTGTGCAATTTCCGAGCTACGCGCCTTATCTTCTTCACATAAGAGTGTCGACCCGTTGCCGCTGCTGGCAGTTATATCAATACTACTCATCTCTTTCGCATAAACTTCTCACGGTTATCCGATAAAGCAGCGTTCGTCATTTTTACAAATACAATAAACGCCGCATACACACAAGAGACATATCGACGTACGTTAACTTTCATAGATCCTTGCTAGTAAAACAGTACGATAGAAAATAAAGAGGTTTTTTTTTTTTTTCTTTGAACACCATCTCAACATGCTTTGTACTTAAGACGCGATATTTTTATATTGCATTTATGTAATCTATCTTTATAGACACTTGTAAATGTCTAAAATAAAGACAAAGAAAAAAAAGAGAGAGATATTTACATTTAATAGCCATTTTGTCCGGTCTATGTACAACGCTAAGCACCCTGTATTTTCTGTAATTACACATTTAATTATTAAACAAAGAAAATAGAATTCCAGGGATTAAACTTTCTATTTATTTTTGTACAAACAACGTATTGTGGTGATTCAAACAATTGCGCTGCGTTAATTCAATTAAATACATATTATACGTAGTAATAAACGCTAAGGATGATTCAGTCAAGTATGCAGTGGACGCATTACGGCTGTAATAACCTTTGATGCTACGGCCACTATAAACATTCATATAAGACTTATTGAGCCGGCGCGGTGGGTATTTTATTTCTCTTATTTCACAGAATCGTCTGTTTATGCGTAACCGTAGTGCGTGTGAAGGATGGACGCAACGACAATGGTGGTGAAGTACTAAGGGTAGTTGTCATGGTAACTGCGCGGTGGCAGCAGACCTCGGGCAAGACGAACAACCCCACGTAATGGCAACCGTTGCCGTCGGCCAGACTAATAAACTACCACCTCCATCGCCAAAAGAAATGTGCACAACACTCTCCCTCGCTGCTTTCGCTTAATTTAGACTATTTTGACAAAATTAACCGAATAATACTATTATTGCCGCCGTATAATTCCTAAAAGTTTTATAGATCTTAAAGATCTTCCGCAACAAGTATGACACGACATTTTTTTTTCATTGTTCGAAAGTGAAAACAAAAACATTAGAAAAAATAAAATAAAATTATTGTTTTTATACAACAACGACGTTGTTTATTTGTCGAAAAAAAATTGTTTTTTTTTTATTTCTTATATTATTTAAAAATTTCATAATGGATATGATAACGACAAGTATTTATAACGGAAAACGTTAAGAACGATGAAATTTTATTTTGTAATCATAGAACTATTGCACATAAAAATTACACCGGTCTTTCTCGGTAGAGAGTCTTTTTACGCTTTGAAGTTGCTCAGGGTATTTACACTCGTAATCAACTAATAAATCATCTGACAACGGTATTCGATAAATGTGGGTCACCCATAGGTAATACCGATACCATTAAATTCTATACCCATAATAGAATCTAAACCTATGCGATGCCACCTGCCTGCATTAGATGTGCAGGTTAATGAGCACACAGTAACCACCCACAAATGATCCAAAATATAGCTGAATTTCTTTTAGGGATCGCCGCTATTCACGTTGTACCGTTATGCGGTGTGTCTTTTGTGTAACGTTTGAAAATTGCAATCCATTGCAGAATTACAACTTCACATATCGTAAAATATTATCGAGATGTCAGTTATGCACACGGCGTCACGCGAGCAAGCCATGCCGAGTAATTCATTTTTTAACAAAATAATAATTCCGAGTAGAATATTTTTAACAACAGGAGAAGTTATTCTAAAAAGCAGTTGTGTTATCTTCAGGATCAAATTATGTTATTAAATAGCAGGTATTTAAATAATTCATTTTTATAAATGCTTAGAGTTTAATATGTATATTGTGCTTTACACACCACGCATAAATTATTAATGATAAATAGCTTGTACCCCAACGGGAAAGTAGTGGAGGAATATATTTATTAATTGCATTCACATGGGTACGGGAAATTCACGTACGTCCTCCGCCGTCGTTAATTTACGTTGTTTCAATTCACCGGACGCTTTTTAACGAGAGAATTAACAAGTGCGCCACACTCTTCCTACCCGTTTTCGAGGCATCTCTTCCCCTGAACCTCATAGCTGCATCACATAGCCGAGAGTTATGACTTTGGCTAATTAACTGCACCCGACGCCACCTTCGCTGCTCGCTCGCGTTCCGATACCACCGCCGTTACTGTTGTTGTATTAGTTGTTTCTGTTATTATTATACGGCTGAAGTTCGCAGAAGCACAACACCCGGCGCATAAAACGCCACCCGGGACGCTCCGGAAAAGAGTTTAGTACAACATCCTTTTATACTTATATAGGTGCTTAATTGTCATTTTCAGAGTAAAGCAGAGATGTATGCAGACCAAAATAAAAATTATTGCCTTCAAAGTAATTTCATTACACAGACTTTTAGGCGTATTAAATTGTATCCGACGATAATTGATTTTTTTTTTTTGCTAAAAATAACATAATGCAGAAATAACATTTAATTAAAACAAATGGAATAAAATGATCACAACAAAATTGCAACCAAAATGTTACCCTGGGGATAAAAGTATGCGAAATCATAAATAAGAAAATATAATAATCGTAATCGAACGTTATTACATAATTTTATTAAATGTATAATTTGCTCACACGCAATAATCGCAATAATCTGGATCCTAATCTACAAAAGTGGCCTGTGACACTGATGGATTGGCTTTCCTAATGTACAAGGATATTATTCGATACAAAAAATATATTTTTCGCGTAGTGGCAGTGTGGAGGGGTAGCTATGGAATAAAAAGGGATAAGAAAAAGAAAGATGCTACAAGGATAAGGGGAAAAAATAGAAAAGAATGGGTTCGATTTGGCGTGATATAACTCGGCGCGAGCAATAAATCTTTAAAATACGCCATCTCTCCCCTTCGGGGTCCCTAACGATAAATTCTCGTTTTGATGCCCTCCTAGTCGTGCTGTATAAAAGAAATAGCCAATCGTTTTTACGGGTGGTTGTCTCTCCCGCCACAACACGGTCAAAGCCGTGCGAGCATTATTTGTCTTTTTCTTTATATTACTACTGCTGATGTATTTTTTTTCGTTGACACGTAATATAATATCGCCTTAAACACCGAGTCTGGTATCTGGAGTAACGCGGCTATTTTTGTACAGCAGAATCATCCAACTTTTATCCCCTTGATTATAATGTCCATATGCCNTTGTCTTTTTCTTTATATTACTACTGCTGATGTATTTTTTTTCGTTGACACGTAATATAATATCGCCTTAAACACCGAGTCTGATATCTGGAGAAACGCGGCTATTTTTGTACAGCAGAATCATCCAACTTTTATCCCCTTGATTATAATGTCCATATGCTGCTGCTGCTGCTGCAGAGAACACAACTTCTCCATTTTAATTAGTTTGGTCACAATAATACGTCTAAGTGCTCCATTGGATTTCGGACCCTTTTTTTGCGCTTACATTAAAAAATTATAACTTTTTATAAACGAGGGAATTTAAAAGTGAGTAAAGTAACGAAACCGACTTTACGAAAGTTGGCTAAGGCGAAATTATATTTATGGCCGTTAATAAAACATTTTTGCGCCGGTTCATTACTATAATATATTAGCTGCTACTTTGTTATACTGCGCGGCAACTTAAAAGCGAACAAAAGTCGAAACCTCGAGTGTATAACGAAGAGTAACGATTGCGCTCAAGTAGTTAGCAAGCGCTGCGGTGTTAGGTAGCTGCGTACTCTAAATGAATAGAAGCTGCTATAATTGTTTGAATACGGGTAGGCATGATTCACTTAACCGGTCCCTTAAATTACATAGAGCAAAGTAATATGTACTGCTTTTGGGCTTCAAGTCACGAAAGACTTATAAATGTGCGTTGTTAATGTGCTCTTTGGGATATCCCAGAACGAGCTCTGTTAATCACCTCCCATAAACATAACTTACCCGTCACTAAGATTCTGACCAGTACTAAGATGTAGTCTATTAAATGTAAAATATTGATTTATTACTAAACTATTATAATAAAAATCGACATTTTAATCCTTTGAGTAAACCCAAAAGTGTAAAATATATCACCGGGGTAACATTTTCTAATGTAAAAATGATAAAATATTTACTGTCGTTCCCAAATATGTCATAAGAACCTAACTTATTTCACGTGTAAAGTTTCTCGTAAAACAACAATGATGATTTAGGCACTTCAGTATGATTGTTTTATAATAATAATAGTTTTTTAAACAATAGTAAAAAGGGCACATAAATGATTAAAATGAAGAGTCTAAATAGTATTCTGTCATGGATTTAAGTTTTTGTCTGAAAATACTCGTGATAAATTATACGAATCCCTTCTAGCGGGTAAAATAAGAGCATTATATTTTTTGTTGCGCTCGTTTACCCTATAAACATGATGTATTGAATCATAATCGTAGATATAAGGGGAAGGAATCGTATATTAATATATACATAATAACAATAACAACAAAATATATCCGCATATACTGTGATATATATATATAGGTGAGATTGTGTTTTGTTTTGCGCGTGTGCCAGCTAACCACAGCCGCCTTGCATACCAAACTTACAAGTTGGGGCCACGGTAAAATAAAAGGACACAGCAAGGTGGTGTAAACGTGGAGTCTAATTAATGCGAACGGGCATCCAGACTTGGATTGGTGCCTAAAAAGCCGCAAAATTGACCCTGCGATGTAACGAATTGCTGAGCCTGTTGGGGTAAAATAAACGGTTGGCTCCGCGATAATCAAAGTATCAAAACAACTAAGATAATAGCTGCCGATTGGCGCTAAAGCACGTAGTGTACGGCGAGATAATTAGTGTTATTGGTAATGACTCGAATTAATATTATATATTTGTTTGATAGCCTGTAAGTATTGCTCGGTAGAAAGCCGCGGGGATAAATGAGGTCTGGAAAAACCACAAGTTTCATTAAAACTTTACCGGTTGTTTGTAACAATGTACACCGCATTCGTGCAACGTTATTTACATAAGCTCCTTTTAAAGATAATTGCTCCGCCAACGGAGAACGTATCGCAAATTAAAAATTACAATATTCTTGTACGACATAAAATATCTTTTAGAGCGTGAAATTGTATTCAGTACATTCCGTTCGTATTTATTGATCGTACGTATACATATAGATATATATTATAATATGAATTTTGACGTTTTTATTTTTTCATATTAAACTTTATTCTGTCGAGTCGTGACGTTATATAAATGTCCAAAAATGTACAAAACATATTAATAATATAGTACATTTTTTGTATATTGCAATGTGACAGATGCTCCGAATGCTTACTCAATGAAATCACGAGGGGGCTAGTCCCCTTTCGTTTTGGAAAAACCGTCAAGTCATATGTGCGTGGTCTCGTTTATTACTATATAGCCGTCGGAGGAGTAATGTCCGAGCACGTACGCGCGTCTAAGCCGTCGAGGGAAATCGGCAAAAAAAAAAAGAGACAACCGCGTTCACTTATATTAAAAACCACGAAAAACACTTCCCCACACACGTTATTAACTTCTCTACCGGGTTATTGGACTTCCGGGCCGAACACACGTGCTATGTACTTTATCACCATTCGGGGTCATCACTGCCTAAGACTTGCACGAAGGGAATAGTCTAGGGGGGACGTCGAATTAGCCGAAGGCGGATTCTGTAATTTTTCCAAAGTCTATTATTATATGATTTATGCCTTTTGGGAAAATTAGTTTTTTTCCAATAAATATAAACGTTGACGCGTCTCCTACAGGAATATCGCCGTACTAGAAAACAGCTCTGACCACTACACACGTACATCATATATATATATAAAGATGATATGTATTACATGGCAGACAGTTCGTGGGGCATTATTCGTATCACGCCTCCTGCGACATTAATCGCTTTGCTCGCTTGGGAATAGATGACTAATGCTGCATCGAAAAACTCATATTGACCATCGTGGAGTGTAAATACATAAATGTGTATGTACTTTTTCAACAGGGGTGGACGTCATTCAGTATGACATTCAAGAAAATACTTATTATGGACATATGTGAATTCCTCGGATGACCATTGCAATATTTGCTAAATCTTAGTTGACCCCATAGAATATTTTTCACAAGAATAAATATATTGCAAACAAAATTACAAACCATTGGGTGACATTCCTCTTTTTATTGTTTCTACTATAATGATAAAATCAATATGGTAAAAATATATAATATTATATTAATATAATCGGCGGTCGTATAATAACAGTCATTTTTGTTTTTATTGATAGACATTTATTAATTAATAACCAGGGGATTTATTAATTTAACGTACTGCGTTTAATGGTTTTGAGAAAATAAAAACAATATAATCATGTTGCGTAAAGGAACTGCAGATATTATACCAGCCTAATAACAAAATAATGTCTTAATTTTTAATTTGTGTCTGAAAACTCAATCAGGTAGCGTGGGATAAAGTAGTCAACTTGATTACTTGAAGAATTATGATGGCTATAGTTTAAATTATGTTATTTTGATTATTGAAACGAACATGAAAAAGCTTTTGTACCAATTAAAAAATTATCATTAAACCGAATGAATGAGAAATTAATTGAAATTGTCTGGCTAAGTGGCTGAGAACTATAATTTATAACTATAATTCAATACATAATTATTTCCTTGCTGTAGTACTTGTAACAATGTCAAAACCGTGTTATGCGTTCACAAAGATCACAAAAATCTAATTAAAATAACTTTTTTTTTGTGGTGAATAAATTATGCTACGATCGGTTTTTTGTCATTGCGTAATTTTG